ATGTAACATAGGGCAAAATATCCTAATGAACACTGCAAAAAACATACTAGATTTGCATTATTTGAAATGGCTTCGGCAGCTGCATGAAGATGCACGTGCATTAATTTGTGGACATGTCCACATTAAAGCAGTCCATGCAGCGGGCTTAAACGTCTCGCTCTCTTACAGCACATTTAGCTCACAATCAACTGACAGTCGTGACTTCATTTACAATATTCTAGCATTCTGTTTTAGTCACTCACACGCCATCAGTCTCGAGCACACTCCCGGTCACCGTGACTCGCTCGAACCGCATCATTCGACACCATGAATGAATCTTTCAGTGTGATTGATGAACCGATTTAACAGTTTGATTGAAAAGAATCGGTTCGTTCACGAATAGGACACCGCTTTTGCATCTCGGAGCACGTGATGATTTCTAAATTGTGTTTATGAAATTAAGTGGATTCTTGATATTAAACCTTGGAATCAAGTGAAGTAAAAGTTTATACAAATAAAAATGCTCTGATAAAGTAGAGATTCTTGAAAAATGTACAGTAACAAAGTAAAAATACTTAATTTACAGTATCGCCCACCCCAGCTAATTTGGCAAACATGACGTTCATGATCTTTTAGCTTCTTTTTGATCTGAATTGTATGTGAAAACACTTGAGGTTTGACACAGACTTGTCCCACCACCTAGAATGCAACTGAGCCTTCATACTTGAAACAACCGTGGAAAACTACTTTTAAACAGGAATTGGCTGAATATTTGTCTGTTAGCACAGGATTAGCATTACCTGAGGTATTTTGTCCTGACCTTTTTACAGAAGGTAAAAGTCTGCATAATCTGTCCTGAGATTGTCTGTAATGATCACATGACAAGAGAAGCTCTGGTAATAATTACTTCACCCCACCTCTAAATGTTAAACTAATCCTGTCCGAACAGGGCTTATGTCTCATACTCCCGCACACCTTCTTGGATGAACTAACTTAAATTAGGGTTAGGGTTAATCCTTTTGACCCCTCTTTACATAAACTGTCCATTTGTTGTTTATTACACAAGGCCTAAATACATGGTCTATCATGACATTTTTATTTTTAGTAAATGATGCCGTTGGAGTGACTTGGTAAAACTGCTTGGTAAGGTTTAGGAAAAGATCATGGTTTGTCTCAGTAATTCCATAGTGCCCAGTCAAATCAAGTCACCTGTATTCACATAGGGCTTTTTACAATACAGATTGTTTCAAAGCAGCTTTACAGTTGTAAGTCAGTTGATTTAGTTCAATTGTAAATAATCATCAGTTATTAATTTAGTACATTTCATCTATACAGCAGCTCTGTAGAAAACAGTGGTGTCATCATCCGGCTCTGTTGAGTTTTCATATAATATTGTCAGTGCAGTGAGATCAATAATATAGTTGAATAGGTGTCCCCAACTAAGCAAGTTGTCTATTAGTGTCATAAGTTGTCTAATTGCGTCTATTTCAGACACTATGGAGTTCTCTTAAAGTCTATCAGACTACCCTGCACAGTGAAACAGATGCTCAAGGCTACCCGGTACAATGAACCTGGTCCCATTCCACCGTTTAGTCCCTCACATGAGCTGTAGTTGGATATTAGGAGTCTCTGTGGCCATACACAGTAGCTGAACAAAGTCAATGTATGTCCATTTTACTTAAAGCCCATTTCCACCGCGGGAACTTTCCCCAGGAACTAGGGACTTTGGGCCGGTACTCGGTGTGTTTCACCACAGGAACCAGGACCTAAATACAGTTCAGCGTAACAATGTCCCCCTCAGAAAGTCCCTGCTCGTGAAGTAGTACTTTTTCAAAGGTCAGGAGCTTTTGGGGATGGGACTTGGGCACTGAACATGGCCAAACACGACGCATAGTTCGCATATCTAAAACAGAAAATTTGCAGAAATAAGATGGAGCAATCTTATACCCGGTACAATGAACCTGGTCCCATTCCACCGTTTAGTCCCTCACATGAGCTGTAGTTGGATATTAGGAGTCTCTGTGGCCATACACAGTAGCTGAACAAAGTCAATGTATGTCCATTTTACTTAAAGCCCATTTCCACCGCGGGAACTTTCCCCAGGAACTAGGGACTTTGGGCCGGTACTCGGTGTGTTTCACCACAGGAACCAGGACCTAAATACAGTTCAGCGTAACAATGTCCCCCTCAGAAAGTCCCTGCTCGTGAGGTAGTACTTTTTCAAAGGTCAGGAGCTTTTGGGGATGGGACTTGGGCACTGAACATGGCCAAACACGACGCATAGTTCGCATATCTAAAACAGAAAATTTGCAGAAATAAGATGGAGCAATCTTACAACATTATTCACAACTCTGGTTTGTTTCTGTTGTATTCATTTCTTACAAATCATCTTCTTTCTGCCTGATGCACAAGTTCACCTTAGCCATCTCATGGACAATGTCAGCAATAAATAAGAGTAATTTAGCTGGGTTTATATACACCTACAAACTAGTTACCCAGTGAGCCCATGTAATGAACCACTTCTTTGTTTTCATGGTAAGGAAACTACCATGGATACAAATGATGTTATTGACATAGCATATACATTATTGACAAAAAGTAACAAAGTATAGCAATATAATAAAAAAACATGAAAAATTTAATAATTAAAAAAGGATTGGTTTCATTAATGCATCAGCAATTATAATCCAGTATTTATTCTGAATTGTACATAATGATTATGCTTTTAGTACTAAGTATAATTGGCTGCTTATACAAATAATTTTTTACTTGAAGAGGTCCACAGTGCATTAATAATTTGAGCACCTCACTAATGATCTAGTGTAGTATGTTCATGTATGTGCATTTAACTACAGTAATAGCTGTCGTTTTAATATTGTTAATATTAATTTAACATGTATTACTCCAAATACTGGAGAATATGGTGCTACACTTCTAGCTGCCTTTGCCCAGTAGTGCAAAAGAGCTTATTTAGACTGATTAAAGTGACAGTGTGTGTGTGTATTTGTGCAGCTGGTCAGGATGCTCTCGATGGTGCCTCTGTAGAAGGTGCACATGATGGGGGCCGGGGCTCTGGCTCTTCTCAGTTTGCGGAGGAAGTAGAGACGCTGCTGTGCTTTCTTGGCCAGTGCTGCGGTGTTGTCAGTCCAGGAGAGATCCTCTGTGATGTGCACACCCAGGAACTTGGTGCTGCTCACCCTCTCCACAGTCACACCATTGACGGTCAGAGGGGCATGCTGAGTGCGCACTCTCGGTTACTTTAAACAGTACATTGCACAAAGAATGAGGGAGCTTGGTCGATTCATGTTGGTTGCTAAATAAATGGACAAGACTGTCAATGGTCTTGAAGATTTGTGTGCGCCAGCAAGATTTCAGTTTGCTGTTAATGTTGCCAAGCATCTTACTCAATTTAGTCCAGGCAAAAATGAGTATGGAAAACCTTCAACGGCAGTGAAAATTGGATTCTGTCTGAAAGGGGCTGTGGAGGTCCTGATTGGGCAGGCTCTTATGAATGAGGATGATCTATCAGAGAAGAAAGCCAAATGATTCTTTGAACTATTGGAGAAAAACTGGAGGAACAGTGTTTCTATCACCGCTCACCAAACCATACAAGAAAAACGATGGAATAAAGATGATGACATCCCCCTCACCAAAAATGTGATTGCTCTGAGAGACCATCTCAGGATGGTAGAAGAT